ATAGATCAGTAGTTGGAAAATAAAGCCTTGACGGAAATGACAGGGGAGAGTGAATGACAGAATTTTTCAAGACCAATGACCTATTCATTGGAAATACCTTCTTTAAAACATAAACAGCAACTATACATATGGACCTGCCGGAATCTTATCAACTACATCTGTGGAAAGAAAGAGACAATAGAAAAGCTCAATGTCATCATTCACAACAAGGCCAGGGGCTGACTGTGGAACAAATCATCAGTTGCTCATATACAAATTCAAGAGGAATCTGAAGAAAATTGAAACAATACCACAAGAGCCAAAGTACAACCTTGAGTATGTTCCACCTGAATTTACAGACTATCTTAAGAAAAGATTTGATATATTGAACACTAATCCCAGACTAGACGAGTTGATAGGATGGCATTATACATGAAAAAGACAGAAAAGAAAAAAAGACCCAAATGGATGTCAGAAGAGACTCTGAAACTTGCTCTTGAATGTAAAGTAGCTAAAGTGAAAGGAAGAAATGATGATGTAAAAGAGCTGAACAGAAGACTTCAAAGGGAGGCTCAAGAAGACAAATTAATGTTAGTTTCTCGAGGTTAAAGGACTTTGTATCTTTATCACCTAAGAAGTGTCTGCAAGGAATTTGATTTTTGCAATCCACTTCCATAGTGATACTGCCTCAGAAACCCAAGGAGGGGTCACTAGGAGTCGGATTTGACTCGACGGCAGTGCATTGATGAACACATGAGCAGCCTTGGTAGTGCAGTGGTAAAAGTGCTCAGCTACTAAGCAAAAGTTCAGCAGTTCAAACCCACCAGCTGCTCTGAAGCACAAGGACTTGGCAGTCTGCTCCCGTAAAGATTTATAGCTTTGGAAACCCGATGGGCCAGTTCTACTCTGTCCTATAGGGCCATTAGAAGTCAGAATCTACTTGTGGCAGTGTGCTGGATGAACAAATAAAAAGTGTGAAATCTAAGAAGGCAATTCTGTGGAGATGTCTGAAAGATATCTGCATTATATAGACGAGTGCTTTTCTAACTTTAGTGTACATACGAATCATCTGAGATCTTGTTAAAATGTAAACTCTACTTCACTCAGTTTAAGAGATCTGGTGGCGCAGTGGATAAGGCACCTGGCTGCTAACCAGATGGTCAGCGGTTCAAGCCCACTGGCTACTCCATGGAAGGAAGACAGGGCAATCTACTTCCATAAAGATTTACAGCCTTGGAATCCCAGCGGGGGTCACCATAAGTCGGAATTGAGTGGATGTCAGTAAATATGTTTTTTTTTTTTTTT